TCTCACTACCTGGGACTGCTGTTTACTTACACTACAGACACTGTGCTGCTACACACCAGAGCCAGGAAAACCTTTTCTCCTGCAAAGAAGCTGGGGTCAAGGCCATAGAGCTGTAGGTGTGACTTCCTGTCGTCCACCTTCAATACGTGTTTGATCATGGATTCTAAAACCTGAGGTCCTACTGATACAGGTTTTGACAGAAGTGTTAGAACAAAGTACTTTACATCCGAAATAAAATCAGTGGATAGAAAGGGATAGGACAGGACAATTTGTGGAGGAGATGCGTTCTTGTTTTTTTCTTTTACATGCCTTGCCTTTTTTTGGAATGAAGAGAAAGACTGTTTCTGACTTCAGGAATAATGATCATGATCAGAAGATTGAATACTAGAAGCTGCCAGATCCCCTTTTAGTCCTGCAGTTTCACACTCCACGGAGAATGCAGAGGGCTGGGAGATCAGTAGGACCGGTGCGCCCACCAGGCCTCCAGCCTGCGGGCGAGAGGAGGCCTCTGAAAGCAATCTGATGTGCAGCGAAAGGAACCACAGCGAATTCATGGAACTTGCATTTTTAAAAATATAGATTTTAATTGGTTTCTAGAGAGAGAGGAAGGAAGAGGGGAGAGAAAAAACATTGATGTGAGAGCCTCACATTGTCCCCTGCTGGGGATCAAGTTCCAAACCCGGGCATGCGCGCTGACTGGGAATCAAAGTGGCAGCCTTGTCTCAGATTCTTCCATAAATGTAAAGTCTACATGGCTAAAAAAATTAATTCTAGTGACACAAAAAGACAAAAAAAAAAAGTGAGGAGACAAAGAATGTGAGATAATTTACCTTACACCATGGCTCTATATTTATATTAATATAGAGCCAAATTAATCCCCTTCCTCTTGAATTTTTTGTTGTTGAAGAAATGCCCATCTTATATATTTTCTTAGTTCTTGAATGTCTGCTATTGTTATTTTGTTTAAAGGAATTACTAAAAGATATTAGCAGAAGATGTGCTTAAACTAAATGACTTAAATCAAAATTACTAAGCAATAGGGAAACCATGATATAAATGTACTGAAAGCCAGTATGGAAATTTGCATATATGGCTTCAAATTAATTTAAAGAACAAATAAATTATTTCAAAAAATAAAAAAAATTCATGTAAGATATACATTTAAAAATAAAGCCTATGTTCCTACTTTTGCAGATAATAAATACTAATAAAATACAAATATTTATCTATTGACGGTCTATTAAAATCTACTTATTCAAGCTTTGCTGAGAGACTACCATGTGCCAAGTGCATCTAAAGCATTGAATCGATTTCCCAATGTGTAAAGATTTCCCGAGACATTTTGTTTACACCCTAGCTTATTTGGAAAATGAATTTTTAGAATTTATATAAAAGTAATTTTTAGAGCTGTTAATATATGGTCATAAATTGAAAGGAAGATAATCCAAAATGAATGTGATTTCATCTAATTTTTGAGATTCCAAAGCCAAATATGTAGCAGAAAAATATCTGAAGTATTGACTTTCATTCCCTTAGTGTTGATTTTAGTAACAGGAATTTATGGAGTAAAGATATTAACAAAAGTTCAAGTAAAAATTGATATTTCTTCTAGCTACTTTATTTTTTTTATCATTCAATCATCTGCTATTTATCATCCAAAATTATCTCACATTCTTTGTCTCCTCACTTTTTTTTGTCTTTTTGTGTCACTAGAATTAAAGATATTTCTTTACTGTATTTACAGTGGGCTACAAAAACAATAGATAAATGCTTTTGATCAATCTGCAGTGTTTAACGGAAAGTCCCTGAGGACAGTCCCAAGCAGGGAAGTTATCATTTAAAAATGTTATTCTGACTGCTATGTGGGTCAGAAAGCAGGTGAGCAATTAGGCTAGTGATGGCGAACCTTTTGAGCTCGGTGTGTCAGCATCTTGAAAAGCCTCACTTAACTCTAGTGCCGTGTCACATATAGAAATTTTTTGATATCCGCAATCATAGTAAAACAAAGACTTATATTTTTGATATTTATTTTCTATATTTAAATGCCATTTAACAAGAAAAATCAACCAAAAAAATGAGTTCGCGTGTCACCTCTGACACGCGTGTCAACTCTGACACGCGGTGTCATCAGAAAGCAGGTGAGCAGTTAGGCAGACCCTGCAATCCCAGGAGAGAGATGATGGCGTCAAAGAGCGTCAGCACAGTGGTGAGGTCGTGTGAGATATACTCAGATATCTCCTTTGTCAGCATTCAGTATATAATCATATTCAAAGGAATACATTTAAGTTATATTCTAGCTTAGATGAAGGAGCCAAGAATGATAGAAATTTTGAAGACATCACAGAAAATCAGTACATTCCAAATCTAGATTGTTTCCATCTACACTATTCTTGTAAATTATAAATATTTTAAACTAACATTTTTATTTCCATTTAAATATTATCCCTCAAGCTGTGATGTTGCCTTCACTGAAGAGAGTCATAGTGTGTCTAATATAAATACAGAGAACAACAGGACAAAAATGAAATGCAAAAAAATGTTAAGATTAAAAAGAAACTATTCTGTTTTCCACTTGTTTTTCCCCCCCACATTTCTTTGTTAAACCCTTTGAAAATGCTCACTGAATGATAAGATAACGTGATTTCACTTACTTTTATATGTTGCCACAATCTTTATCAAGAAGCATATACTCATTTCATTCTTAGACACACTAAATATTATCCCTAATAAACTGGATTGAGCAAACAGCGTCTCAGACTGCTTGGGGTAATACTTGAAATAGTGTTAAGCAGTGTAGTTGGGGTGTACTGAGGGCAGGCACGTCCTTGATCGGGACCAGAACCTTGGCCATGACAGAGCCTTTTCTTTTCCTTTAACTAATGAAAGACCGCCTCTTCCCAGGCACCTATCATGTGTCTTGAAGACCTAAAATGTGGTCAAAATGAGTGTCAGGGTCAGTTCTTTACACGAGTAGCCACAAAGTTCTAATTATAGTCTGTGTATGTCTTTATGGCAAAAGACAAGCAAGGTGCTTCTGAGGGGCGAGTGGGCCAAGGCCAGGCGTTCGTATGGACAGTGGAAGCTCCTACATTTTTTTGTTGGGAGGAAGGGACATGAAATGGCTGAGCTCTGGAACCTGCTTCCACATCGTGGTTCCATGATCTATTGTTTTTCTCTTCAGATTTTAATTTCAATTTTTGGTAAGTTTTCATTGTATGTATTGGGGTGACATTGGTTAATAAAATCATGTAGGTTTCAAGTATACAAGTCTACACTACATCACCTGTTTGTTGTATGGTGCTCACCAGCCCAAGTGAAGTCTCCTTCCATCACCTTTTATTTATCTTTACCCTCTTCTACCTGTCCCTACCCCTTTTCCCCCTGGAAATCACCATACTGTTATCTGTGTCTATGAGGTGTTTTTTTCCTTAATCTTTCACCTTTCTTACCCAGCCTTCGACCTAATCCCCTCTGAAAACTATCAGTGTGTTCTCTGTATCTATGTTTCTATTTTGTTTACTTGCTTATTTTGTTCACTGGATTTCACATAAAAGTGAAGTCATATGATATTTATCTTTCTCTGACTGGCTTATTTTACTCAGCATAATACTCTCCCGGTCCACCCATGCTGTCACAGAAGGTCAGGTTTCCTTCTCTTTTAGGGCTGAATAGTATCCATTGTATAGATGTACCACAGCTTTTTTATCCACTCATCTACTGATGGGCACTTGGGCTGCTTCCCAATCTTGGCTAATGTAAATAATGCTGCCATAAACACAGCTACTTTAAAGTTATCTAGACTTACTTACAACATGAGTTTTAATAATTTTTATAAATAAAAATTGTACTGGTTGAGCTTATATACACTTGGCCTTTAGTCTTATAGAATTTACTCTCTAATTTGTTTTTTATTTTATTTCTAGGTTATTATCTATGTTTCAAACAAGAAGTACCATGAGCTAAAACAAATTATTGGACAGATTTGTTTTAAATGCAACAACACAAATGTCAAAACTGTCACAAAAACAAAACAAAAAATTAAAACATTAAGACAATCATAATAAAAACAGCCTCAATCAAGGTTTTGTTTGTTAGTTTTTGTTTTTGTTTTGAAGGAATTAGAAGTGAAATCATTCAGACAGGTGTGAATTCCTTTTTTCAAGTTGTGGAATAACGCAGTCTTGCTTATAGTAGAGGAATGTTAGTATCCCCTCAAAGCGTTTTCCCAACACCCCCTGATTTACTTTGATGGACAGATCATTCCCAAGCAAAATACCTCTAGCACCATGGACAAGTATGGGCTCTGCTGGGCTGCTTTGTTACGTGTCACAGGCTGCTGCTGTGGGTGACACGTGTCTGCCTGCTGCCAGTGCTCTGTCCAGCTGAGGGTCTTGCTATATTTTCTGAGTCTGAGAAGGAGAGCCTCGCACAGTATTGCAATCGGCTGGGGACAAGAGCCCCGGATGTTGAAGCTCCTCGCTGCAGGCATGAATGCAGGCTCTGGGAGATTTCTTTGACAAAGAAAGATTTGGGGAAATATGCTTATCAAACTCCTTTTTGAAATATGATGGTTTACTGAAGCTGTTTCGTGACACATGTCTCATGAATTATGGGTTTTATAGATTATCTGAGATTTGCTGCATCAATAGATGGACTATTAACCAGGCCCACCGTTAGCAGAGCGCTTTACATATCCTTGCAGGCATTTGGAAGGGATTTATTTATTTTCTTCGATGGGGAACTGAATAAATCTTGTGATAAATGCGACAAAGGCATTGCTAAAAATGCGTATGTGTGTAGAACTTTTACAAAGGACTGTGAACCGACTGGATATGTCGAAAAGAAAATTGATTTTGAAACCTGCTCTGCCATGACCAGAGATAAAAGATCTTTTTTATTATACTGTTGGTTTTTAAATTATGCTTCCTGATGTATCAGACAGTTGCAACAAATTTCTAAAAATGCTCAGTCAAGCTACCCCAGTAAGGTTACCACCCAGCATGGTTACCACCAGCATGGTTACCACCAGCATGGTTACCAGCCCACATGGTTACCACCCCACATGGTTACCACCCAGCATGGTTACCACCAGCATGGTTACCACCAGCATGGTTACCAGCCCACATGGTTACCACCCAGTATGGTTACCACCCCACATGGTTACCTCCTCAGCATGGTTACCACCCAACATGGTTACCACCCAGCATGGTTACCACCCCACATGGTTACCATCCAGCATGGTTACCATCCCACATGGTTACCACCCAGCATGGTTACCACCCCATGGTTACCACCCAGCATGGTTACCATCCAGCATGGTTACCACCCCACATGGTTACCATCCAGCATGGTTACCACCCAACATGGTTACCACCCAGCATGGTTACCAGCCCACATGGTTACCACCCAGCATGGTTACCACCAGCATGGTTACCACCCAGCATGGTTACCACCCCACATGGTTACCACCCAACATGGTTACCACCCAGCATGGTTACCACCCCACATGGTTACCTCCCCAGCATGGTTACCACCCAGCATGGTTACCTCCCCAGCATGGTTACCACCCAGCATGGTTACCTCCCCACATGGTTACCTCCCCAGCATGGTTACCACCAGCATGGTTACCACCCAACATGGTTACCACCCCACATGGTTACCTCCCCAGCATGGTTACCACCCAGCATGGTTACCACCCAGCATGGTTACCACCCTACATGGCTACCTCCTCAGCATGGTTACCATCCCACATGGTTACCTCCCCAGCATGGTTACCACCAGCATGGTTACCCCCCAGCAAGGCTACCAAGATCTCACACTTTGTCACTGAAAAGCGGTCCCTTCCTGTCAGGGCTGCAGGCAGTTCCAGGCTTAGCCACACACGAGGCTAGAAATAACCTGTAACTCGTGGCCATGTAGACGCAGTCCTAACTTTAAGTCTCTAGTCCTGATGGCCACTTTCTTTATGGTGAATTTATCATCAATGTTTTGGTTGCAAACCCCAAACCGATTTTTGGTGAACTTAAAACCAGAGAGAGTTTATTGAAGAAAACTGCCCAGAGGCCGGACAGCCAGGCTTGGGGATGGCCAGGGGAGTGGCAAGCAGGGGGAGCACCCGGCTGCGGTGCCATCGCCACGACCCATTCTGCTCTTGTGATGAGTGACCTCAAATTGTCTGCCTTTGCCCTCTGCTCACTTACTCAAGGTTCCACGTCGGGGAAAACGCAGCCATTTGGTTAAACTCTGGTTACAAGTCAGAGTTCAGTGGGACAGGAAGAGAGGCCTTCAGAAGGAGAAAGCAGCCTCTGAGAACACCACCCCCAGGGGGAGGTGAGAGTGTGACAATGTGCAGGCCCCGGGGGATGACCAACATGCCAGTGTGGGTTGGAGCGGGCCATTGTGGTCTCATGAGTGTTAGTTCACACCATCTCGGTGGCTCACGGCCCTCAGAGGGGTGTTGATAGTACTGACCCCCAAAAGGGATGAGGTGAATTCACTGTTGCTTTTTCTACGGGACTCTAATGCCCATTTATCCACAAGGAGGACAAAAAAGTAAAAACTTGCTTGTTTCCCATTTTTTTCCAGTAACCAAAATACTTGTTTTACCAGAAAGGAATGCAGCCAATATACATTGAGCTGGCTACTTGCCGGTGGCAATTTCTCTCACAAAAACTATTTTGATCTTCTAAACAAAATCCAACTAAAAATGATTAAAAACTAAGACGTATAACAATTTCGTTCTAAATTTTAAGTCTTTTTGAAAGTCACTTTATTGCCCACTGAGCATTTAACATCATACAGACAAGTGCTTCTCAAACTCTAACATTACTAAAGGAATTTGTTAATACATAGATCTGGGTGAATCAGGCGATGGTTCTATGCTATGGTCCTTGAGTAGCAAGGCTGGAGACAAATAGCTTCAGCGAGAAGACCAAAATCAGGGTAGCTGCAAGCGAAGAGAGACAACGAAGAGCCTTGCAAACTAAGATGAGAGCTTTTAACACTGCCTTGAAAGCTCTAGGATCTGGTTCTAACATGCTGAGATTTTTAGTTGAGAGAAATCACTCTGAAAGTTGTTTGGAGTGTGCATGGAAAGGGCATTGGACTAGAGCCAGAGAAACTAAACAGGAGACAAGAAGTAATCAAGTCATCTGGGCAGGGCCAGATTCAAGGCTGCTGGCCCCGGGGCCATACGGAGCACATTTACAAAAGGACACTGTATTGGACAGAAATACACTGAATCATGCTGCCAGGACAGCCAGACTTCTCCCCATGACTTCCTCTAACTGGTGGAATGTGAAGTGATGCTGCTGCAAGCACAGCGGCTTCTACCCTCGAGCATAAATAGCACAGCGCGCTTTGCTCTGCTTAGCCTACGTCGTCACTGCTGACTGTTGTCGGCGCGTGGAGGTGCCGGGTGTGAGGAATACCTGCAGACCTAGGTCTGACCATGAGACCAGGTACCTAGAAGCCTCTGGAAGTCTGCAGTTCTGTTACCACCAATTTCCTTCTAAGCTGAAATAATGCACGGTGTCGTACTGTAACATGGACATGAGCAATACATTTTATCATCTAAATGTAAGTCTTTCCAGATACCTCCCAAGACATGGCCTAACTCATAAAATTGACATGAAAAACACACACACATGTTTAGTATGTCCAAGTATGGTACCTTGATCCTTAGTAAGTACCGGTGACTAATGTGATCCTGTGATGAATGAAGACCACTTGGAAGTAAAATGTAGTCCCACATAAGTAAAAATCCAATGTTACATTCAGTACATGTAATAAACTCTTTGGAACACAAAGAAAGAGGAAACTTTAATTAACTTATATTAGATTCCCTATGCCAACACACATTAGAGGTTGAGATAATGTTTAAGAGTATTTGCTCGAATGGCCTTGCATCAGCACACGTAGGGGTGTTCATAGGAGGGATTTTGAATGCTTTTAAGAGACAAAAGTAAACAATAAACTAAATCAGATAATGAAAATGAATGAGTTAGTCTTCCTTATGCTCCTTCAATGTGTAGAACACCATCTACCATGTAAGTAGCAGTGCCAAAGTAATAGTTCTACCCGAATAGAGGTAATTTTAGAAATAACTGGATGCTTTTCTTTTCTTGGTGATCTGATTTTCCTCCTGGTGAACTATTTTAGCCCTAGTGAAGAATGTGTGTGTGTGTGTGTGTGTGTGTGTGTGTGTGTGTGTATGAATGATCCTGGGGTAAGAGGAAATTATGATGTAAGGAAAGTTACTATGATTCAAGGAGAAAATGTAGATTTTTTTTCAAGGGAAACATGGATGGAGGAGGGAATCCATACAGCTGGTATTAAGGGCCCATACTCATGTTCACATTAGGGGATGCTGGGAGAGATCCCTCCACAGTGTGAATAGGGCAACCCCAGTTGTTGGGGAGCAAAGTAAACATCTCATGCTACAGTGCTCGAGTGTTCATTCAGACAAAGAAAAGAGTTTCTAAGCTCCCATGGGGCCTGGGCAGGACCTAGAAATTCCCAGGGGAGCAGGGAAAGAAGCTGAGATTAGAACCTGTGGCTTATGACAGGGCTCCTGTAGAAAAGACAGTGAGGCCTCAGAGCCGAGCTAAAGGTGTGCTGCAGCCTAGATAGGACCCAACAGATGATACGGCCCAAACCATGGCGGTGTGAGTCAGGAAGGAAGGGGTCACTGGGTGCTGAACTTACGGAGGAGCAGGCCAGGAGATTCATCAGCTTTGGATGGCAGCAGGTGCCAGTGACCAGGAGGGAAAAGGATATTGTGTTACAAGTGTAAGTGGGGACCCAGGGCACTGGACAATCTCCTGCACACGAACCCAAGAGCCACCTCCCCCCTTTCCAGGATTACATACAAGCATTGCGGTATATTCAGATGCCATCTAGAACTGGAACCAAATGTGAGACTTACTCACTTTAAGAAAGATACTTGCATCTTAAACATAATTATGTCTTACGTTATATTGAATAAGAACTTGGTAATACTTTCTTTGAGTTTTACTTGATTAAGAGCTAAACAAATGTGACATTTTGGGTTCCAATTCAAGAAGCTTTGTTTTCTAACCTTTGAATTTTTTTTAAAAAAAATGTTCAATTGAAATTCAAAATGCTCATGAGAGAAAGCGAAGCAGTGATCTTTTCTAGCCTGATGGTTGATATATTATAATCATTACGCCTAGTTTACATGGTAAAGATAAATCACTGTGGCTGTGCAACAGGACATGATGCCTAAGGATATTAAAAGTTTTAATGTTTCTCCAATTTAACTACTACATTTTAGAGAATGCTGCTGCTTTTAATTATTTTCTTTCCGCAGCGTGTTTGCTTGGATAATTTTTACATCATGTGGAGTTTTAAGTGTTTGAAAATATCTTTTAGGAGAGATTGGTTTGCTTGTAATTTGTATGTTTTCCCCTGTGTATGATTTTAATTTTTACATGGGAAGTGTCCTCCAACACATGAGAAGGGCAGAAAAAGGGCTCTTCTGAGGGTTATATAAGGCTACCCTCAGCATGCTGGGAAAACGTAGTCACTAAATGGACCCTCACTGTAGCATGAGATGTTTACTTTGCTCTTTTATGTAAATCCTGCATGGTTACTTCTGCTGTTAACCCAATTTTATTCATTTCTCCTAATCTTTGTCTTCGTAGCATAAAAATGTTCATCCAGGCACTTAATATTTTTGTGAAAAGACATTTCAAACTAATTTCAGGGTATTTTTTTTACATTATATGTTCTTTCCAAAGCTGATCTTCAGAGAGTCTTTTTGTTATCTGTAAAATTGGAGTTTCTCTATGGAAAAATATTTTTTAACAAATGAGTGAAGTAGTTCTGTTTCAGCTCCTTATTGTTCATGGTTAATATTTTCCTTAAGAATCGGAATGTTAAAGGACTCTCCCATAAATTAGAGGGTTGTCTATATTTACTTAACGAGCATATTTTTAGAGAGAGCATGCTATACATGATTTTTGTTCAAAAAATTCCCCGAGAAATAATAAGAATGCGCAAAAGAAATAAAACAATGCAGAATTTTAAAGGCTGTTGTTGAGGTTCTATTTTTTCCTCAGAAACTAACAACTATGCATTACTTTGAGGTGTATTTGCCCATTGCAGTGGAAAATTCCTTGCAAAAATCAGAAAGATCTGCATGTGTTGCACGTGGAGCATGGTGTAAATGCAGCTGCATTTCTAGACACTAACACCAGACGGCGCTAAAACACTGCAGTTAGGGGTCGTCCCGCCAGTGGAGGTGGTATCCACAGCCTACTGGGCACATAAGAGCTAAATGTAGCGGTTGATAGGGAGGGAGGGGTCCATTGGAACTACATTTGGCTTTATGATATTCTACTACGGGGTATTTTCTATTTTCTTCCTGTACCTGAGACAAGACACTTCACAAGTGAGCTTCAGAATGTGTGGCATTCCCCTTTACCTCTTGTTTTGATGGCAAAATTAGCCTTTGGGTGCCTGTGACGGGAGGACATAAGCTGGCTGTGTCTGTTTAAATTAATCGCTGGCCATGAACATTAGGAGAGTGACAGGAGGGAAGATCCTCAGACAGAAACTCCGGAACAATTTACAAAGGATCAGCAGTGTGCATGCCTGGGAGCAGTGGGGGGAGGAAAAACTCCATTTTATAAAACACCCCACAAAAATATAAGAACAATTATTTTCCCTCATTCTATCTTTTTCCTTTGCAAATGATAAAATGGAGGATTTTGAGACTGCATACTAGGATCAATACTAAAGTTTTAAAGAAAATCAGACATTCATATAATATGCTGCTGCTTGAGTTAGAATGGAAAGAATGAGGGCTCAGTGCTCTGTTGTAGATGAAAAATGTGTGATGGAAAGCAATGATAAAGCTAGGCATAAT